AAAAAAAAAAAAAAAACAGAGAGAGGGACAGAGAAGAATGAAGAAGAAGAGATAAGAAGGAGAGATAAAGTTTACCTTTAATTAAGCTAATCAGTTATAGCATACTTCAATTAATTATTTCTTATACATTTAGTAATTATGCAATTAATATTATGCATGCGGTAATTTTGCAATAAAAAGTTATAAGGGTTGTAGAGAGTGTAATTTCCTCAATTTTCTCGGGTGTAAAAAAAAAGGCAATTGACTTGGGCTTTTTTTACTTCTCCAGATAAAAGCCTGATAAAAGTCCAATCCAAATCGGGTTGTCCAATAGCCCAAATACTATACCCGGCCCAACCATTCTCCCCAGTCTTTCAGCTCACGAACGGATAAGAACAGCTTCTCCTACACAGGCTTCCTAAAATCCCCCAATTTTTTTTTACCGCAAAATTCAATCAAATTTTTAAGCTTTTGAGCTTCAATTCAACAATGGCGCAATCCTTATCTTTAGCTTCACCGCTGCTTCCCTCAGTCTCTCTCATCTCCAACCCCATCGCCAAAACCCCCAAAACCTCTCTCTCCTTTCGCCGGGACACCCCTCTCCACAAGGTTAGACAAAAATTCGATCACTCGTTCGTTTGTTCTACTGTTTCGCATGAGAAAATCCCTAATTTTCTTCTGTTTTTCTTCTTTTTTTGGGAATGTTTTAGGTCGGTGGGCTGAGTATAAGATGCGCTCGTGTTGGTGGGGTTGAGATACCGAACAACAAGAGGGTGGAGTACTCTTTGCAGTACATCCATGGGATTGGGCGGACTAGGTCGAGGCAGATACTCAACGATTTGAACTTCGATAACAAGCTCACCAAGGATTTGTCCGAGGAGGAGCTCACCATTCTGCGTGGGGAGGTTTCGAAGTACATGATTGAGGGAGATCTCGTAAGTACTTTGTGTGAAATCCTATTACCGCTTGGATACGCCATTAATGGACGAAAGAATTGAATCTGGTTCTTGCGATTTTTCTGGGCTCTCTGTCTCTCTGTGTGTGTGTGGGTGTGTGTGTTTTGGTGTTAATTTTGATGAATGTGTTTGAAAGAAAGAATAAAAGAGCGTTAGTGGCTGAATAGTTGAATCCTGTTCTTCCGATTAATCTGGGCTCCGTGTGTGTGTGTGTGTGTTTTGTGTTGAATTTGCATGAATGTGTTTGAAAAAAGTGGTTTGTTTCGGCGTTGATTTTGGTGAAATGTACTTAAGAAAAATGAAGTTAATTAGGGTTGTTTTAGGTTGATTATGCTAGTGTATGCTTACTCGTTTGTTGATATTGCTAAGTAGTTCACTAAAGTGTGCATGAGACTCGGCTTGTGATGTAACAATGGTCTTTGTCATCTGATGTATTTGGTTACACAAGGTTTATTACATATTTACTTTACGAAAAAAAAAAAATAAATAAATAAATAAACCTATAAAGATTAAAGAATATCCTCGTGGCACTCGTCACGGAAATACTCAGTTATCTTTTCAAAGTTAAGGAAAGAACATTGGAATTTGCTTCTCGTTTGCAGCTTGAAAGTTGAAAGTTGACAACAAAGCATTTGCTGGACTTATATGCGATTAGGCTAAACCCTTTAGGGGTTGTTTTTATATAGTATTATCGTTTTCATTCAAGTGTATGCTTCTGTTTTTTTGGGTATTTCTTGGTTTTCAATTTGGACACTGTCATCTA